TTCATATTATTTTTATAATTAGCCCCAAATTATGTCAGACGTAATAGCGTTGCGCCCTTTTTTATTACCCTTGTAGGCAGACGAGCGTACGGCCTAGCTGATGATCAGTGGTTACCGTCATTCATAGTCATCAGCAATGTCAGGGGCAAAACAAAGCCGCTGCCTACCGTTAAGTACTCTCCATAAGCCTCGTTTTTTTTCATTGCTCTCGTAGTGAGATGAGTCTAAGGCTCACCTGACGCTGCGTGGTTATCATTGCCCATGGACATTAGCAACGCCAGAGGCAGAGCCAACCTGTTGCCTATCGTATTGTACACAAGCAGTATTTGAAGAAGGGCATGTCTTAGCGCCCGGGAAACACCGTAGAGAGGAGCTCAATCCAAATATAGATGACATGAAAAAAAAGATCTCAAGCTAGCTCAGCTAAGTTTTATAAAGTTTCCTGGAAATTTGCTATGTCCACGACTCGAGATACTAAAGTAAATACTGTACGTTTATAGCTTAACAATAACTGAATCCAACGTTCAACGCTTAAGATCGACTAATTGTTGATTAATCTAATACTTAATCTTCATTGTCCTTAATGTTCCCAGTATCGGCAACAGACGCCGTCTAAGTAAAAAATAACTAGGTAACTTGATAAATGTCGAATAATTTTATAAAGTAGAAGAAACGTATTATCTGAATTTGAAAACAGAATGAATTTTTATTAAGCTATTGCATAGCTTTTATCCCTTTGAACGCGGAGACCGAATCAAGAAATTTCGTAACGAAAATAAAACCTAACACCCCACTCCGCCTACCGTGTAGCTCGCCTTCAACACAATCACATGTTGCGTGTGTGTAGTGTTTCTGAATAAGCGCGTGGCGTGACGTCGCACTGCATGCGCATCATGAAAAGTCTGCCCATCTCTCTCTCGCGCGGTCTAGCTTATGAGTGTGGAGAGGACAGTTAATGTTTTGCTTTTGTTAATGTTTATAAATATAACGTGGTCTTATTTTATTACTGTTTGAATATTAAATTATTATTGTCTAATTATAATTGCATAAGTTGATAACAAATGCTATGCAACAGCTTGACCGCGGCAGTCTCCGAGTGCCACACGTTTTTTTTCTCGTTAGATTTCGTTACAACGTTATGTTATGCTAGCTCATCTGCTACTAATAGCTTAAGCAGCTAGTGCAGACAATAGCCACGAGGAGGTTAGTACCGCGATTCGCTCCGAAAAAATGGAATTAGGTTTGTTTACCCTACAAAAAGAAAACGGGGAACCGTTATATCATCATCATCATGCTTTCCTATTACCCTCTGCTGGGGTGTAGGGCTCGAATCAAATTTTTCCATTTGTATCGGTCTTGGGCAGTCTGTTCTAGCTCCTCCCACGTCATGCCCAAGACCCCTAGCTCCTGCTCCACCGAGCGACGCCAAGTTGTTCTGGGGCGGCCTCTCTTCCTTTTACCAGACACTTTCCAGGTCAGTGNTCCATTTGTATCGGTCTTGGGCAGTCTGTTCTAGCTCCTCCCACGTCATGCCCAAGACCCCTAGCTCCTGCTCCACCGAGCGACGCCAAGTTGTTCTGGGGCGGCCTCTCTTCCTTTTACCAGACACTTTCCAGGTCAGTGCTCTCTTTGATAGGTGTGTATCGGGCTTTCTCAGAGTGTGACCAATCCAATGCCACTTCCGCGTTATATACTTATACAAAATCTTCTATATTCACCGATTTTCCATAAATCGCTTCCAAACCCGAATCGGTTGCACCTTATCGTTCATATCAATTGTAACTTTATCAGCGCCTTGAAAAGTAAATCCTTTGGATTTGACGTAACGCAAGTTCGTTCTTCTATTACCGGATTACTTATCTGTACACGGTATATTAAAATAATTTAATTTTTTTTTATCTACATGGCGCCTGTTAGATACAAATAATAGCGCCATTAGACAGCCCGTTATAAAATTAAGCTCTTTATGCTTTGAATTCGGTGCTATTTACATTCAAACGTATTGAGTTTTTTTTTATTGCTTAGTTGCGTGGACGGGTTCACAGCCCACCTGATGTTAAGTGGCTACTGGAGCCCGTGGACATCCACAACGCAAATGCACCACCCACCCTGAGACATAAGTTCCAAGATCTCAGCACAGTTACAATGGCTGCCCCACCCTTCAAGCCGAAACGCATTACTGCTTCACGGCAGAAATGGACAGGGCGGTGGTACCTACCCGCGCGGACTCACAAGAGGTCCTACCACCAGTAATTACGCAAATATAAATTTGCGGGTTTCACTTTTATTACACGATGCTATTCCTTCACAGTGGAAGTCAATCGTGAACATTTGTTGAGTACGTAATTCATTAGAAAAATTGGTACCCGCCTGGGATTCGAACACAGGTGCATCGCTCAACACGAATGCACCGGACGTCTTATCTCTTAGGCCACGACGACGTAGTAAGAATACCATTTTGTGGGTCTAAGATTTGTAGTTGTATCAACGTTGGCACGTCGCAACGTGTGTAGTGTATATAGACCAAAGCGTCACGCGTACAGCTTCCTTCTATAGTTCTAAAAGTGTGGACAAATTCACAATCTCATTTAGGGTTAAATGGTAAGAGAAGTGACGTGAATGTTGCAACCCACTCAATCATTAGGCAGAATTGATCTAGTGAATCATCAGAGCCATTAGTTGTATCCGTCGACGTACCAGACTGTGAGGATACACCCAAATTTACACGCAATGAAAATTCAGTTCATATTGTATACGTATGTGCTCAATACTCATAGCTTGTAAATTGAATAAGGAAAAAAAAAACATATTATACTATAGTACCATAACAATAGATTAATTTACCAAATAGGATTGGGTATTGATGGAGACTTGACGTTCAGAGGAGCTACGGGAAACTGCTATTAACTTAGTTTGACTCAGCAGTACAAGTATATTAGGTGTCAGGGATGTCCTAGTCTTTTTTCTCTAGTCCCACTACATCCATCTTAAACCATTCATTCCCATAGCTCTAATTTGTTGAAGTTATCCACACCCAAACAATAGATGTTTTTGGAATAGGTACTATGCAGCAATACAAATATTAAATGCCAGTTGGCACATCACAATACGCTGCATCGGCTTTTTGTACCATTTAAGGTATTAATGCGAGGATTTTTAGATTTCCAGCTTAGCACGTAACGTGTGCGAACGTAAAATTTGTTTGTGCTCGCCACCGGCTTACAATTTATTGTTCTTAATGCTGGTGTATGAGATACCTCGTCCGCGCGTAGTTGAAATAGCCCCTGGCTACTAAAAAAACAAGAGAGACGACATTTGAGCATTGGTGAAAAACAATTTTGAATTTTTTTGGTAGTCGTCCATCGGTATTCAGATATAAATGTTTAGGTATCTTATATATTCAATAAAAATAACCATGTCGTTTATGTAAAACCAGAAATAGGGGGGAGGTGATACAAAATAATGCAAAATTGTAAAAGAAATGAAAACAATATTTTAAGGTTTTTTTAATATTTATTTAAGAATATTAATATAATGCAGTACAAAACTTTCTCTTTGAATTTTTTTATTTAATTCAAGCGTGTCCGTTATCATCGTAAGTGAGAACGAAATTTTAGTAATTATATTTCGAAAATTAATTAAGCGGTAGCATTATCTCGTCATTAATGCATGTTTATAAGTATAGATACCCATTGTCTGATTTATAATAAACTATTGTTCCCAGGGGCCATGAATAACTTCATGGATCATGAAATGGGTGGATGAGATGGAACCTTGAAAAGTATTGGAGGATACTGTTAGTTGCACCCTATAAAGGAAGGACCATAGGACTGCTTCGTATTAGTAATAAGTTTTTCAACCAGTTCACATCTTTTTATTATAATAAAAATACTAATAAAAACTACAGAAACACGCATGAATCATCATCATCATCATCATCATCAGCCTTTATCTGCCCACTGCTGGACATAGGCCTTCCCCAATGCCTTCCACATAATGCGGTCCTCCGCCTTCCGCATCCAACGACTTCCCGCGTCCTCCAACCAGGTGGACTGACGACGCATGAATAATAAGATGAAATTTTTTTGTTATAATTCTATACCAATTCCGGGCATGATATTAAGCCCAAGCTATAAAATTATTTGCGTTGTCATCAATCTTTGATACATGTGCAAGATATAAATGAATCAGATATATCATAATTTTGATGAAAATTACGATATTAGACATATACAAGCCAAACTTATAAAGCATGTTAGAAAAATTGCCCCTGAGAAATAGAGAAAGTACATTTTATATTAAATTCATCCTTTTCTAGAAATTGAGGGATTATTGCATTGCGAGAACTGAAAAAATTGGTATTATGTCTTACATGTATTTTTACGGTACGAAGATTTACAAGTCAGTTATAACGCAGCTTAATATATTTTAATGGCTTTTTCATCTTGTATTCTGAACGGACTCTTGCTTTGAATGAATAGGCAAAACGGTGTTCACGACGTACCCTATTGCCATTGCTTTGACTTTTGTTTGACACATAATTTGTTTACTTAAGGCTACGTATTTCATTTGACACATAACGCTATGCTAAATGCTACAAATACCCACAGCGGCTTACATTACATTATTATTTGCCATTATATGTCTCGGCCACCAAACCGTTGGGTTGGTCAGATCAGGAGAGAAGCCGAAAACCGAAGGAAATGGAAGCTGATGATACAAAGAGCCACGAAGGGCTTTCAGGGACACGACCTTCAGCAATGAAGTATGCGACTAAGAAGAATACGTCTCTATCTGCCAGCCCACAGACGCTCTGCTGGTCATAGGACCAAGACTCGTCATAACGACGGATTCCACGGAACGACGGATTCCGACCTTCGTACTTCTCATTTTTTCCCTGAAAACTCTTAAATTATTGATCTAAAATCAAAAGTCTATCTGAGATCTGTTACGTATTTTAAAATGAAGCATATAATATACTCGTAAATAGATTCAATTTATCACCAAGTCCTTCCAATACGTTCTATAGGCGATTGTCTCAAAGCTCTCACTCTTGGTATCCTCACACTCGGCTCTAAGTCTACGAAGAAGGGCGCGCTGACTGCGATTCCAGCAGCTTTACCGAAATGATAAGCTCCAACTAAAATAACGGCCAAAATAGTCACAGATCCAAATGAAATTAACGCTATGGCCCACGGTCCTAGAGTGGCAGCTATTTCTTCGTCTCCTATTTCCTCGGGTTCTGGTTCGCCCGATCCATCATCGTCAATTATTAAGTCAATATCTGTAGTTGTTTCGGAACTATCATTTTCGATAGATATCGGCTTTCTTGTGTCTTTCGCTTCGAATATGTAATTCTCCTCGTCGCTGTTTTCGTCGAGTTTTTCATTTCTCAAATCGGTTTTGTAATAGAATGAATCGATTAAAACTATTTCGTTGTCTTCGCTTTGTCCAATTAGATTGATCTGTAATGATATCGAATAGAACAGATTACCAAATATATTCGTAGTCATGTACACTAAAACAATTTTTTAGCATGTGTTTGTCGAATGTCTTTAAAATTTGTTAATAATTTCGTTGATCCCACATTTTAAGATAATGTCATTAAGCTTTAGGAAATCTCTGAGATATTGAGTAATCAGTTTGTTTATCGGTCTCACGTTAAGTTAGAACAATAGAAAGAGATGGAAGCTTTATTGCGTGAATAGTTTTAGAGCTGCTATTTAGGATTTTACTCGTATTTTAATCTAGTCGTTGTTACTTGTGATGGAAGGTTTGCAGTTGCCGAAGGGAAACTTATTTGGTTTTTGTGAATATCCCACGAGCACACCCGGTGAGTAAATATTGAAATAAATAAATTTAAAAAAGAATCAGGTTTAAAAATTTAATTTCAATTGCTTTGATAAAAAAAACAAGAATTTTTGGATATAAAATGTTTTCATTTTCAAAACAACAGGAAACAAAAGATTTTTGTATTTAAATATTATAACGAAAAGCAATAATAATTAATTGTTGTAAAAGGTATTTTAAAGAAACCTTCTTACGTGTCAATATTGGTTTATTTCAAAGAAAATACATTGACTTTTTTTTCATATCTTCTTTTTTACTAAAGCGTAAATAACAAAGGCAAGTACATTGTTGAAAGAATGCTTCTAGGATAGTTTTACGAATCTTTCCAGTGACTATTTATATTAATCGACTGGGGAAAATTTTATGAACACGGTGAATTTCAAAATTTTGAACATTTTTTTTAATTATTTTTTTACAATAGACGTTTCAATAAAAATTAAATTTTCTAAGTGTAACCAAACCAAAAAAAGCGTTCTTATATTTATATATTAAAAAAATCACGGTTTCTGGCGTATCCAGAATTTCGCTATTTAATGAGACTATCACCACCCCGCCTATTTCTGCTGTGAAGCAGTAATGCGTTTCGGCTTGAAGGGTGGGCCAGCCGTTGTAACTATACTGAGACCTTAGAACTCATATCTGAAGGTGGGTGGCGGCATTTACGTTGTAGATGTCTGTGGGCTCCAGTAACCATTTAACACCAGGTGAGCTGTGAGCACGTCCATTCACCTAAGCAATAATAAAAATAAAAAAACTGCTAGACAAAATTTATTTTGAAAATTTCCTCATCCTGCCCGATTTTGTGAAGCCAACACGCACTCCAATCCGAAGGATGAGGAGGGGGTAGCTGTTAATCCAACGAAACTGAGAATTTAGTTTAATTTATGAATGCGATGATCAAGTATTTGTAGCTATGGCTACTGTATATTACTGCAGGTGACAACAGCTTACACAGAACGAGAGATTAACGGAATATTAGTAAAAAAAAAACAAAAAAAAAACCTTTGAAAACCCCTGTCTAACGTTTAACACAAGTAAAAATTGACACAAATCGTACGTACATATCCAACACCGCTCCTGTCAATCGGCAAAATAATCCGACTCCAACCACTCACAAAATCCACACTGGTCATATCGAAAACGTATTTCAGCAACTGATTCTCGTTCTCATCCAAGAATACTATGGTCACACCGCTGTTCTTATTAATTGTATTAACGAACACGACGAATTCGATCACTGTACCCGGTATCAAAATCACTGGGAACGAGGTCGCGCAACTAAACGCTGTGGCTCTGACGCCAACAGAATTCACAAACGGACTACGTACTTTCAGAGATTCGTATTCCACTAAAAACCACTCACTGGCCGCCCCGCATTTACTTTGATCGAAATTTTCGTAGAAGTCATCGCGAAAATTATACTTCAGGCCTACAATGTCCTGTGTAACAACCAGGGTCGCCATGCCGATGGCTAGTGCCGCTTGTAATAACATCGCATAGTGTTTCGAACTATTCGTCTTGTGTGCGTGAGCCAGCGAAATTGTTCTTGCAATGATTAAAATGTTTACAGGTGATATTGTATTAACGTTACGAATTTATTGATAGATAAAAAAAATACATTTCAATATTAACCAAATATTTTATTGATGGTGCACTAGCGTAATCTCTTTAACTCCTCTTAAGATAAACGATTTATAATTTTATCACATCATTAATTTTTTATATAATTAATTTATAAATGAAATCTGTGTCGTAGTTTGGTTATTGGCAAGTGATTATTTGATTAAAATGCACATACCAAAATAACCTGTCAGTTCCAGAATGTACAAAACCGAATATATCTTATAAAAATTTAAGGTTAGTAATTTTTATATGATATACATGTAAAGAAAAACCTTTATTATTTAAAACTCTTTAGTTTTTAAAAATGATTTTACTTCAGATTCATTCAGTGTCATGGAGTGACGTCTGTCATTCAATAAAAAGAGAGTTCAGTTTTGTATAGTTTATTACTTACTTAGATTAATACAGTTTATTGTTTTATTTTAATATTAATTTTAAAAGAGATTAAGGCCTTTAAATGTTGTTTTCTTATTATATCACAGAAAACACAATGAAGTCTTTTATTGTTTATTCATTCTGAAGTACTCCATATAATTATAAACTTACTAGCCGTACTCGCCCGCTTCGCTGTGCATTTAAAATTAACATTATTATTTATTGTCATTATTATTAGGGAGTCCAACCCTCATATTAATATTAGCCTATCCATTAAGTACATGTATTTTCTACATAGATACCAAGTTTCAAGTCAATCGGATGCATGGTTCAGTAGTTATAACGGAATATCCGTAAAAACCAGTGTAGATTTACATATTAGTATAGATATAGATTTAATATTTATAATTTTGTCTTTGTTTGTGTTTAATATTTTATTATTTATATAGACAAAATTGTTCTTAAAACCATTCTCAAATAACAAAAAAATCAATTAGATTTTTACATTTGTACGAAAATTTCATTGGTGATTTTTTTTGTTTCCAAGCAAAAAATAAATGTTAATTAAGCAGCGGTGTATTATCGCAACATGTTACATTGAAAAACATCGGATACGGCTCTGTGAATAAGTCCTCGATTTCGGAAATCAATGGCGCTAAAGCAGGCGTATAACACGAATGTGATTAAAAAATTATCAAATAGTATCTTGCAATCAATAACACAATCAAATTGTCACTTAATCCCGGCTGCTGTTTCACCTATTAACGTTAATCATTCTACGATAAGACGACGAAAAACATTTGGTTTTCTTTAAATCTCACAGCAGTTCGTCGGAGGAACATAACACGTAGACGTAATAAAAGTTCAGGTTTTAAACAATTTGATATGACTGTAATTTTAAGGAGTGTCTTTTCTAAATTGTTATATGTGATCGATGTGGTTGATGTCAGTGTTGAATTTCTGAACTAATCTTATAAGCTGAGGTTACGGTATTTTGTATACATGGTAAATTATATTTTTCATCTGCGTACATTTTTCAATACTAGAGGTCCCGCAGTAGTCGAAATTCGACTATAATTAATTGGAATTGTAAGTTTGTACACTATTATGATTGTATTTTACTTCTTTATACTTCTTCACAAATTTCNGGTTGATGTCAGTGTTGAATTTCTGAACTAATCTTATAAGCTGAGGTTACGGTATTTTGTATACATGGTAAATTATATTTTTCATCTGCGTACATTTTTCAATACTAGAGGTCCCGCAGTAGTCGAAATTCGACTATAATTAATTGGAATTGTAAGTTTGTACACTATTATGATTGTATTTTACTTCTTTATACTTCTTCACAAATTTCGCCAAGACTACACTATAAAAAAAATTAACAAAGACAAACAATATTGAAACTCAATTTGACAACAGACGTCAAGAACAAAAGTTTGACAATAAATAGTATGCATGCGTGTGTGCGTCAAATACATGGTATGTAGTGTGTGTAATGTTTTCTTTATTCATTTAATGTATCTTTTATGAATTATTTTAAAAAAAATATTAGCATTGTGCACTTCTTCTCTATATTCTCTATAAGTGTGGAAAATTTCATACTCCTCCGTCCGCGCAAATTTCGTAAAAAGGGATACAAAGTTTTTGCTTCACGTATTAATATATAGATTACATGTGCAAGTGGAGTTACAACACGCAATTACTTCTAGAGGTACGAGTTGTTAGCTAAAGCCGATTACAAAGGATATTTTTGATTTATCAATACTCCCTCAATGCCGTTCTAAGGATTCTTCGGAAGGAGAATTTTTGGAAAGAAAGAGATCTTAGATGTAATGGATTAGTCGAGATTAACAATTATTTCTTCTGTTTACTGAAATAATCTTACTACTGTTATATTTATTATTCAGCATCAATGAATAATTAATATAAAGAATAAATTTAATATTAATATAAATAAGAAAATAATGATAGTAATTTTAAACAATCGGCAATGGTAAGTAGAATACGCATTTTATTTTTATTTTTTATTGCTTAGATATTTGGACTAGCTCACAGCCTACCTGATGTTAAGTGGTTACAGGAGCCCATATACATCTACAATGTAAATGCGCCACCCACCTTGAGATATAATTTCTAAGGTCTCAGTATAGTTACAACGGCTGCGCCACCCTTCAAACCGAAACGCATTACTGCTTCACGGCAGAAATAGGCAGGGTGGTGGTACCTACCCGTGCGGACTCACAAGAGGTCCCACCACCAGTAATAAAATACGTAGTACGTACAAGTAATAAAGTACGCACGAAGAGAAGGGATGTATTATGATGAATGATGTCCTATAGTTTTATGTATTTGGTAAAGTGCTAAGTGTTTTGTCATTTATTTGTTATGAAAATATGTGAGCGTTCCGAAACTATTATTGTGATTGAAGGTTGGCGGTAATTCAACCAGAATAGTGACAATTTTGGTTTCGCGAAATAATTTATTTTAACGCAAATTCGTTTTTTACTAATTAACTAGAAACGCAGTCGAAGAACCAAACTATATGTCCGCTGTATCAAAAACAAAAAAAAACTAACATAAACAAATTTTAGCCATGGAATTAATATGGAGATAACCGACTGTCACACAATGTATATTCGAAATAGGTTTCTTGTGAATAACACCATTGATGATTCGAGTGGATTGACTTCCACGGTGAAGGAACAACATCGTGTAATAAAAATCAAATCCGCAAAATTATAATTTGCGTAATTACTGGTGGTAGGACCTCTTGTGAGTCCGCACGGGTAGGTACCGTTACCCTGATTATTTCTGCCATGAAGCAAAAATGCGTTTCGGTTTGAAGGGTGGGGCAACCGTTGTAACTATACTGAGACCTTAGAACTTATATCTCAAGGTGGGTGGCGTATTTACGTTGTAGATGTCTACGTGCTCCGGTAACCACTCAACACCAGGTGGGCTGTGAGCTCGTCCATCCATCTAAGCAATAAAAAACAACAACAACAACAAAGAGAAGAAGATCTTCCTTATGGCCTATGTCACTCGGGAATAGTGTAGCTACCAAACAGTGAAAGAAATTTTCTAATCGGTTCAGTAAGTAGTTTCGGAGCCTATTCAATACAAACAAATCTTTTCTCTTTATAATATTAGTATAAGAAAATAAATAAAAAGTTGGTTGTTTGTAAAGTTGGTTTACGGACGATAGTTTTACGTGATAACGTCATAAAGAAAGATTGATGAAGCATTGCACACTTTTATGAATTGGATTGAATTATTATCACTGAATTATTATGTATGTATGTATTTGACTATTTTATACATAGGTATATTAAATTGTAGTATGTGTATTCTATAATACTGAGATGTTATTTTAAGGAAGATTTTTGTTTTGAGTTTGTTTTTTTTTTTTTTTTTGTTATTTGTTATTCTTTTGTCAATGCACCTACCATGCATTATCTCTGCACCACCCTATGGTCGACTGGAAGAGAATGCCCATGGCATTAAGTCCGCCTGTGTACAAGTTTTGTTTTGTGCATAAAGTATAAATAAATAAATAAATTATTATGTTTGTTTGATGTTGTATTTTGTCAAAATGCCTCGTGCTAATGAAAATAATTATTGAAGAAATTACTCGGGGTAGATTGTTCGTAGTTTTAATTGAGAGATGACATGGGTAGGTACCGCACGCGTTTCCTGCCACTAAGAAGTAGGTGTTTCCCAGTATGAAAACTCAGACAGCAATTCCATTACAATTTGAGACTTCAAATAACGTTTTAAAGGCGGCAACATTCACGCTTTGACACCTGTGGACTTTAATGAACATTTAATCCACGTCCGATTGCTTGGTGACTTATGTAGATCAATTATTTAAAAATAAAGCAGTTTAAAAACAAAGAAAAAACAGACAAAGAAGTTATTTTCAATTGGTTTTTTGATCGAGGAATCAAATGGTTATACGATAGATTTATCGTTGCTTTCGTGTCGGTAGCGGAACAAAATTATCACGATGATTTCACACAAAGACCTTTGTCAATGGAAAATATCACTGTACGTATTTATGAAAATAAATTTACTCATGGTAACCTTCAACAGCTCATTCTCGTCTGATCTAGATCCTGTTATCATGGATTCCGTTTGTTAAGATATCTGGGATCGGAACGTGGATCCTCACGGCAGGGTTAGTCTGTCAGTTCAAGGTCGCCTAGCGAGCAATAATGAAGTCGTCGTGGCCTAATGGATAAGACGTCAGGTGCATTCGTATCTAGCGATGCACCGGTGTTCGAATCCCGCAGGCGAGTACCAATTTTTGTAATGAAATGCGTACTTAACAAATATTCACGATTGACTTCCACGGTGAAGGAATAACATCGTGTAATAAAAACCAAACCCGAGAAAATTATAATTTGCGTAATAACTGGTGGTAGGACGTCTTGCGAGTCCACACGGGTAGGTACCACCACCCCACCTATTTCTGCCGTGAAGCAGTAATGCGTTTCGGATTGAAGGGTGGGGCAGCCGTTATAACTATACTGAGACCTTAGAACTTATATCTCAAGGTGTGTGGCACATTTACGTTGTAGATGTCTATGTATCGAGTAACCACTTAAGACCAGGTGGGCTATGAGCTCGTCCACACATCTGAGTATAAAAAAAATATATATATACCTATATATATATAACGTGCATATCGGGAGTTTTTTCTGAAGGATAAAATCCGCAATGAGTTATTCGATAGAGCACCGAAGTCACTGACAAAGCTCATATATTTCGTATGGTAAGGTCGCAGATATCATTAGAGTTTACGAGTTCTTGATTGAAGACCGCGAATTCGTAAATTCGTAATTTCTTACGAAGTTGAACTACCGAACTACTTATAACTATAGTTGAACGACTATACCGAACTAATTCAGTATAATCAAAAAACATTAATTTTTTTGGGTTCATTTATACAAAAAAAAAAACCACGCATCATCAGCCACGAATCACATTGATCAAGTGTATAAAATATCTTTGTACGTTCTAAATTAAATAAAGCTAAATCCCAACTATGAATAATGACAAATAAATAAAAGGATTTAATATAAAAATGTGACAATTGGTTGACCTTAGTTACTGGGATCGTTCTAAGCATTGCGTAAAATGGAGTCGAAAGAATTAGATAGGTTTTCGGACTATGGAGAAGACTATTCTATTTTTCATATTGTTTTCTGATTTCAGGTGACCTGATTTCGAAAACGACGTATCTTGTCGCCCGTGGCCCGAATATTCATTACATTTTAATAATTATTATTAGAATTTCATAGTTATTACATTTAATTTTTGGAAATAAAACGGTTGAGTCAGTGTGTGTGTGTAGCGCCTAACTTTTTGAAAGACTTCCTTTGGTTATTCAAATTGCTGATTATTTCAGAGAGACCCAAACTGAGACTTAAGGATATCGCGCTCTGTACTTGAGGAGAACGATTTCGTTGCTGTTCGAGTTTTAAAACGTAGAGAAGATAATCGGAGTTCTTAAGGACGTCCTAAGGAAAAGCTCACACCGAGAGAATCATGATTTTTCGTAAACCTCGGAAAGGTGAGAATTCTGGTGGAAAGAGTGAAGGAGACCCATGTGAAATCTAGGCCACAATCAAAGCTTTGTTGTATCAAGAACTTTTCGCATAGCGCTACGGATCCCTTTTTTAATACGCTTTTATTAGCTTCAGACGTATGTATGTTTGTAACGGAATCTTTGAACATGATTTTGACCCCCTTCAAAACGTCGGATTAACTTGAAATTTGGTATACTTATTAAGAACCGATGACAATTCGATATTAAAAAAAATATTAAAAAAAAATAATTGAAAAAATTGAAATTCAACTAAAAACTGCAAAATAAATAATAGTTTAAGAAAACTAACAAAATACGTTTTTATAGAAAATCCAACTAAAACAACGAAATATTTTTTTAAAAATTAGAATTAAAAATAGTGTAAGAAAAAATTCTTTTATTGTAAAAAAGCGTGGGTGCTTTTCAGGATATTATCAATATAACTCTTCTACTCATATCTACCCATAAAATATTTATAACTACTGATACCATGCACCTCAAGCTTTTTTTTACAATAAAATCATTTTTTCTTACACTATTTTTAATCCAAATTTATTAAAATTTATTTTCTATTTTTTTACTTAGATTTTCTATAAAAGCGTATTTTGTTAGTTTTTTTAAACTTCTTTTTTTCTTTTTTTTCATGATGACGATATAACGATATAATGATTCATCTTCGGCGATGTAGGTACTTATCGTTTTTTTTTTGGAGTGAAGGATTACTGGAGGCCCGATGGCTATTCCAATTTCACCAGGACAGGTGGACGAGGAAAGACCTCAACCGGGTGAGAAAGGATTTGCTAAGAGTACATCCTTGTTTTTCTGCGCGCGCCATTTTATAGGCTGATTTTTTAGGATTAGTGCCTTTTAATATATTTTTTTGCTTAATTATTTGGACGAGCTCACAACCTACCTAGTGTTAAGTCGTTACTGGAGCCTATAGACATCTGCAACGTAAATGCCGCCACCCACCTTGAGATATTAGTTCTAAGGTTTCAGTATAGTTTTGTAGGCTGCCCCGCCCTTCAAGTCGCAACGCATTACTGCATCACGGCAGAAATAGGCAGGGTGGTGGTACCTACCCGTGCGGACATACAAGCGGTCCTACCACCAGTGTCTAATTGGGGGTTCCGGCATAGATACGTCTACCTTATTTCTGTTCCAATACACCAATAGGTGGAGTTTAACGGGGCTTATCGATGCCGCCACGCGAATATTACTCAGATTGAGACGTGATTTAAGTCTAATTTATCTGATAGATATTACTAATGTTCCATTTTTCAAACTGGAAGCTAATACTAATTTGTGACAGAAATAGATAGGATGCTGGTACGTATCCATACAGACAAAAGATAATCTCTTCGTCACATCATCATTTTCCCGCCCTTCTCCCAGTCGCCTGGGGTCGGGGCGACATGTTTTCTTCTTCCATACTCCTCTATCATATATCATTTCTTCGCTCACTCCCCTCTTACACATATCGTCTTTCACGCAATCCATCCATTTTTTCTTAGGTCTACCTCTTCCTCTAAAGCCTTTCTTTAGCTTAAAAGGCAATCTCTTGTCTGCATGGAAACACAGCCGTTATGAAATCCACTTAATGTATCCACTTAATGTTATATGTCCCAACATGTATTGCAGTAGTCATTTTTATATATTAGGTACTAGCGACCCGCCCTCGCTTCGTTTCGGAAACGGTAATTTATTATTGATTTCTCCACTATTTAATGGATGTTATTATACATAAAAACCTTTCTCTTGAATCACTATCTATTAAAAAAAACCACCTCAATATCCGTTGCGTAGTTTTAAAGATTTAAGCGTACATAGGGATATAGGGACAGAGAAAGCGACTTTCTTTTATAGTATGTAGTGATTATATAGGTATATGTAGTACATAGAGAAATACATTTGTCGATAATGATTTTAATTAAGCGCGAAGATTTTTTTAATTAATATCAGATCGAACAGGATGTAGTTTTTTAGGTATTATATTATAATATGTATTTTCAAGTATGTTCGATTCACGGCCAAGTATCATGCCTGATTATGATATTATCAATGATGCATTGTGTTTATTATATTCGATAACACATGAAATATGCAATTAAAAATGTTGTTACAAGGTTTATTGGTGTAGGTGATATACTTTATCGGTTTATGCATTTTTTTGTTTTAGTTCCTACATTTTTGCACAGATGGCGGTAGCAGTTACTTAGGTTAATTCCGATGAGACTAAAAATCCAGATTGAATATGGTTTATGTAAGTGTAGCTTGCAGCAATATGAAGCACTAAATGTCGCCAAAATAATGGAAAATAAACGACTGTTGTACAGGTACTCAGTTTTTAACGATTTTTTCGTATTTTTTGAAAGTAAAGACATTTTTTGTACTTAAATGTTTATTTAAAATAATAATATCAAAACAATACAGCATTGCTTAATTCAAATTCTTAATAATGGTTTTAATAATTAACAAAAAAAAACTAACAAAATCTTAATATTCTAACGTCCTTATTAATTATTGTCTATAAGCTTATATGTCTTTCGAATCGTCTAGACTTCTACAAGTACAGTTTGTTAACAAGTAATAGGCATACTATCATCTATAGTAAAATAGTGTCTACAGTTTTCAGATCGTGATTAATTGCTAACCCTATTTAAATAAATACATTAAAGTTCCTAAATTAACCATTCCTAATTAATCCAACCTCTCTTGCTTAAAAAATACTGAATTTTGAGTATTTAAGAACCGCTAAAATCGCAAGAAACCTCAAGTCACGTTTAAACAATGAACAAGAGAATCTGTTTAAATCCAGTGTGCTTAGTGCGGGTTTTTTTACATACATACAACACACAACGTTTGCCTACGTTTGCCGCTAGGGGCGCTGTTCCAACTGCATACAAATTTGAGTTAACTTTTACGCTATCGAGAACGCTAAAAAACTCGCATTAAGCACATAGTTCTCAGGAAATACGTTCACGTTAAAAACTGGTCACTTCTCGCATACGGTGGATCTGGGTAAACTTTCGATATCCGCGGAAGCAGAATGGGTTTCGGTAGATTCTCTATATCAATGTCGATTTCTGAAATGCTGTCTTTCGATCTTCTTCTTCTTCTACCGATTTCATATGACACAGCAGCTACGATAGCTAGCAGTAAAATGAACAGCAAAACAGCCATAGTTATTGTCAGGGCATTCCAAAATGCCGGACGTACTTCTTCTATCTCAGGAGGCTCTTCTGTTCCATCAGTTTGTTCTGTGGCTTCGTCGTTTGGTGTTGTTGTTTTAATGTTGCTTGGTGTCGTTGTTTCAATGTTGCTTGGTGTCGTTGTTTTAATGTTGCTTGGTGTCGTTGTTTCAATGTTGCTTGGTGTCGTTGTTTCAATGCTGCTTGGTGTCGTTGTTTCAATGCTGCTTGGTGTCGTTGTTTCAATGCTGCTTGGAGATGTTCCTTGATCGTCTCCTTCTGTGGTCAGTTCGGGTTCCGTGGGGTAGGGTTCTGTTGTAATCGGTTCAATAGGTGGTGCCGTTGTTTCTGGGCTCACAGTTGGACTAGTGGTGGGCATTGCTGTCGTCGGATGAGCAGTAGTTGCCTCTTCAGTTGTTGGTTCATTTGTTGTCAGCCCAATAGTTGTAGCTTCTTCTGTAGTTGGTTTAATAGTCGTAGGTTCAATAGTTGTTATAGGCTGTTCGGTGGTAGGTTCCTCGGTAGTTGGAACTTCAGTAGTTGGTTCAACTGTAGAAGGCTCTGCAGTAGTTGGTTCAACGGTAGTAGATTCTTCAGTAGTTGGTTCTAATGTGGTAGGTTCTTCAGTAGTCGGTTCTACAGTGGTAGGTTCTTCAGTAGTCGGTTCTATGGTAGTAGGTTCTATAGTAGTGGGCTCTATGGTAGTGGGCTCTATGGTAGTAGGCTCTATGGTAGTAGGCTCTATGGTAGTAGGCTCTTCAGTGGTCGGTTCTATGGAAGTAGATTCTTCAGTAGTTGGTTCTAATGTGGTAGGTTCTTCAGTGGTTGGTGCAACTGTCGAAGGCTCGGCAGTAGTTGGTTCAACGGTAGTAGATTCTTCAGTAGTTGGTTCTAAAGTGGTAGGTTCTTCAGAAGTCGGTTCTATGGTAGTAGATTCTTCAGTAGTTGGTTCTAATGTAGTAGGTTCTTCAGTGGTTGGTGCAACTGTCGAAGGCTCGGCAGTAGTTAGTTCAACGGTGGTAGATTCTTCAGTAGTTGGTTCTAAAGTGGTAGGTTCTTCAGTAGTTGGTTCTAATGTGGTAGGTTCTTCAGTAGTTGGTTCTACAGTGGTAGGTTCTTCAGTAGTCGGTTCTATGGTAGTAGGTTCTATAGTAGTGGGCCCTATGGTAGTAGGCTCTTCAGTAGTCGGTTCTATGGTGGTAGATTCTTCAGTAGTTGGTTCCAATGTGGTAGGTTCTACAGTAGTTGGCTCTTCAGTAGTCGGTTCCATGGTGGTAGATTCTTCAGTAGTTGGTTCCAATGTGGTAGATCCTTCAGTAGTTGGTTCTAAAGTGGTAGGCTCTTCGGTAGTCGGCTCTGTGGTAGTAGGTTCTTCAGTAGTAGATTCTTCTGTTGTCGGCTCTGTGGTAGTAGGCTCTTCAGTAGTTGGTTCCTCAGTAGTTGGTTCCTCAGTAGTTGGTTCGAAAGTTGTTGTTGACTCTGGTAATAAAGTAGTAGTAGTCATGTCTTCTTCATAAAATGTGCATGCGCTCTCAGCCATATCGGGAGGGATATAACGGAACGAATCAACCAATACCCTCGAATGAGTAGACTTCATTCCCATCAATGTTATCTGGAAATTTTAATGAAACATTACTCACTAGTTATATTAAAGCGCATTTAAATTGATGATTTTTGCAGATCATATAAGAATTTTCAAAAGCGTATTCACAAAGATGGACTAAAACATTAGGTTAGTGCTTAGCGGTTTTTTAATTTCATTTTGTTAATTTTATTGAAAATTTTTCCTTTGGTTTGGTTCCCAACTAAAATTTAGTGATTCTGGAAATTCTGTAAAAGGTTTTCTGCGTAGCATCTTGGAATATTACATTCAACGTTATTTGTGTGTATGTACGTATGGATGTAAATTGCAATTACTATTTAAATTAGATTCTATTGGTGTACCATTGCGGTAGATATATTGTGCGGTACCATTGCGGTATTCTATGGATGTTATCTCGCTTTTTTGGCCGCGACATAGGTATGCGTTACTTTTTGGGATGCGACGCCCGTTATAATGTAGTATATAGGAGATTTCTATATCAAATTTAAAGGTCACTGCGTGCGCTTTGATGTTTATGGGCTGCTGTAGCCACATCATATCAGACGAGATCTTGAATTATTACATATTTAAAACAAATATTATATGATTTTAGATACTGCCTTTTTTTTTTTTCTTTATCTTGCAATCAGTCAGCTAGACTATGAGCAGATGTGTTGAGAGCTGTTAGACGGTCAGAGCAAAATCTCTATCGAGACTGCTCCACTCTGTCAACCGTGTCTATCAAGACTTAGGATTTGTCGCCTTTTAGGCCTATTTATTAGGTCCGGTGTGGTTAGTTGCGTGGCAAGCTTATTAGGATGCATTTCTAGCCAAAAGATAGATACTGCTAATATAATTAATTATGATGCTAATTAGATATTCGGCGCGCCCCTTTGCAGCAAAACGTTTTTGGTGGCGAATTTCAAGACAACCAGTTTGCGAGTGATAGAAAAACATGTATGTTGAATCATATTAAAACTATCAATCACATAACATATTTGCTTTAGTTAAAGTATTCTGTGTTCATTCAATAACACAATGAAATTTGTACATATTATTATGTGTAGAAAAGAGACATGCGGTTTACGGATTTTTGTAACATTACATCTGAATTTTAATCGATATGTTTTCACCGCAGATGCAATTTGGAGCTGTAATTTTGGTTTAGAGAATGAGATAGAGGACCAAGATGTAATTAAGGATAATATTCTTTGCACAGGGGAAAATTCTAAGTTCCTTCAGTTAAGTCCTATGACAATTCTGTTGAGTTTTAGATCAGCGACGGAATCCTTTTTAATGACACGCTGAAAGAACATACCATTATCCATTGTGTAAATTGAACTCAAAAATATGTGAAAGTATTAGAAAAAAAGTGGGACATTGTTGACGTTGGAGTTCATGTTTTTTTTTTAGGATTGAAGGATTACTGGTGGCCCGGAGGCCTTTCCAGTTTCAACAGGACAGGTGGGCGAGCAATGGCTCAGCCAGAAGGGGCGGGATTTGCTAACAGCTGTCCGAGCGCCTCTGAAGGTGATCTAACAGCTCAAGAGCAGCTGCTTCGCGAATAAATCTACTACGCGACCCGCTGAGAAGATCCGGCGAGAAACTGAGCGAGCTGATTCATGGGTCAGAATGCACGTCGAGCTCTTTGTCGAGTTCGACGAGTACGGTTACCGGGGTCCCTAAGCCTGCTCTTTGTGTTAGAGTTGAAGGCGTCTAATCCAAGGTTATTGTATCTGATGGATCCGTAAGGACGTGAGTTCATCTATTAGGTGCCTTCGCTTCAGAAAATCAAGAGCTAGCGTCGAACTTGGTTTTCGGGATTTTTCCGTTATTGCTAACATAAGAGGAATAAAATTCCGCTGGAACTTAATTACGGAGGGGCTTCCTCTTACAGCTTCCATAGATAAGTGTTTAAAAATTAATAGAAACATTATAATACGATGGGAATAAGAATTCTAGAAAGTCGGTGTCTGTTTTAACTGAAGTGTATTAGAAAATTAAGTAGAATAATATTTTCAACAACATTTTGATTCAGGGAAAATCTTATATTTGAATGGTTTAATTCTGCTTATTTGAATTTACTAAGAGATTATTAAAACACGGAATGTTAATTTTGGGAAAAATATCGATTCGAAGCGTTTGCTAACGGACTCTGAATATAAATATAGTCAACGAATTCTGCAGTTAAGAGATACATTTTTAATTAAACAGTGTACCTGGTACGAAACATACCGTATCCAAAAATGACTTTCTTCCCCCTGAAATGTATATATTATTACATAAACATATTTAAGTTCTTGTTTTTTTTATTTTTTTGTGTAAACTTAAATTTCTAAATTTCTGTTTTTTTTTCTACTTTTGTTCACTTTCTACTTATATGTGATTTTCATGTTGGAAACATGTTTGGTTATGGTTTCATCTATTTTTTTAAATATTTTATGTATGAAATGTACTGTTGGTTTTCCAAATAAATAAATAAATGTCTGAACAAACCTTACAAAGAACATGGGCATTGAAACATTTAATTCAGATTTTATTTGGGCACACATTAAATTTTTAAGCAATTTTTTTCTGTAATCATACATATTAATGTATGTAACACATTTAACTCAACGAGTTTCGCGGGCTTCGTTTGATTCGATACATTTTAATCCCTCTATTAGATTGCTTGATCTATGAGACTACGACTAATCATTAGGTAATATCGTTTTTAATTCTAATCAATTTAATTTATTGATTTGTATATCTAAAAACATAAATTACGTCGACTTTATACATTGTATTGTAACGATGACAGAATGAAATGTAAACAACAAAAATATTTGTCCTCGGAACTGTACTAGGTGTTGATTTAGTTTAAATTTCCTTTTTAATCCCAGTTCGGAAAGCAGGGATACAGTTATATAGATCACCCCCTCAATGATACCAACAAGAGACAACAGCAACATTCCACTATGTTGTTCTTGTCTTCGTTGGCAGTAAAATATCTACTGATCGGTTGGAACCCGTATTTTTGTTCAGCATACTTTTTCTTGTATGGTTGGTATGAGTGTTGACTCATAACACCGGCAAATTCCAAGCTTTAGGCTGCGGAATGCGTTTGTCATATATTGCTACAAGTTAGATAAGTAACTTCACGTCCTTACGGATCCGTCAGATCGAATAACCTTCGCATTAGACGCTCTAACACTAGCAGCAGGCTTGGGAACCCTAGTAACCGTACTCCTCGAACTAGACAAAGAGTTCAACGTGCAACCTAATCCATGCATCAGCCCGCTGAGTTTCTCGCCGGATCTTCTCAGCGGGTCGCGATTCCGATCCGGTAGTAGATTCATTCGCGAAGCAGCTGCTCTTGAGTTGTTAGGTCTCCTTCGGAGACGCCCGGACAGATGTTATCGAATTCCACCCCTCCTGGCAGAGCATTTGCTCGCCCACCCGTCCTGGTGAAACTGGAAAGGCCTCAGGGTCACCAGTAATCACTCATTCAATTAATAAATAAAAAAAGTAACTTACGTATCCTTCGTAAGAGCCGGTTCCAATCAATCGTATTCTAAACGTGTGCCATCCGCGTACAAAGGCCGCTGAATTCTGGGGAGTGTTACTAGCGGACCCCACGACCGCGTCGTTCCCTCCAGGCACGTGCTGATTCGCGAGCAAATTGATCTGATCCGAATTCGACGCTCCGTCCATAAAGATATTCACTTCTACAATACCCCCGGCTCTCATTTGAAAGAAGAACGACGATACGCAGCTCAGTATCGTTCTCGGGCTAACGAAACTCCGCCCTGCCTCGTGGAAGCTCTCCATCGGCACCGATTCGTAGGTTTCGACATCCCAAAATTGCATACCTCCGCATATTCCGACTTCGTTACTGAACAACGACTGGAATTCCTCGGCATCTTCGAACGTGAATCTGATGCATCTGTCACTTAGTACGCACGTGGCGGAGAGAGAGAGCGCAACAAAACATCGCAGCGTTGTTCGAAACATGTTCTTGGCACAGGCATTTGGTGCGGTGTCCAATAAATCTCTATATAGTTAAAAATTTATGCTGTAATCAAAATACCTGTATCTTAATTATTTGTTACTTTATCGTGGATAAGATATAATTCTATGAAACGAGAATAATCGAACGATAAAATATTTTGCATGTATCGTATAAAATATTTCATAGACCGTTACAGGATTTGTTATAATATGTCGCTTACGTCATTCTCATTAATCACGCAAGGTCAATAAAGTGACCTGCAGTTTGTAAATAGATGGGTGAACGCACGGGCTGAATCATTTTCTAATTTAAACAATCACCAAATTTATTATCTGTTAATTAAATTTAAAGATTTTCTGAGGATTGAGCGTCGCCGATATGATAGAACCGTGACGTATAATAGTCTCATTTAAGACTTTCATACCATAGCTGACGATGTTTTCAATACATTGCTGTCTCCTTGTCCAGTGACGGTTGACCCATCGACCGTAGACAATATTAATTAAATACGTGATACAATCATATTTGTAATCAGACAAGCCTAAAAATAAAAAGTTAGAACAAGTTTTGATTTGCTAAGAAATTATCGAGTCAATAAGCTTAGTACACTAATATCGATAAAACACTACGTTCAGTGATATCGATCATTTTCATTAGAGGGTCTTAAAATTGTTTGAGATTGAATCGATACGTAAATAAATAAATAAATATATAAATAAATAAATAACCGGGAATAAATCACGCTCGGTCATCTGGCTAAAAATTACGATTCCCTGTGTTATGGTTACCAGAGACTGACATACATATTTATAGACGTTTAAATAAATACATAAACGCCCAGAAAAAGAGCAAACAAATCTGTTCATCACACGATTGTTTACCCGACGTGGGAATCGAACCCAGGACCCTAGGCGCGACAGGGGCGCTAAACTCCACCACCACCTCAGTATATTCTCAGTATATTATTAACATTTAATATGTATATTCCAAAATATTGAGCTAAACGAAGCCTCAAATGTGAAAACAGCTTTTACTAGGTTTTGTAAATATTATACAGCAGTTATATTGATTAGAACAAACAGATAAACAGTGGACAAAGCTGATTACATAGGAGCATAAAAAACACCATAGCTTTAAAAGTGAGGTTGTGAACAAATTGTACGAACTGGCACGTCATTAGAATTCCCGTGGAAGCAGATCAATGACCTCATAGATGCTTACTTAATACATACTTATACATAACTTCCTCCTCCTCGAGTCGTGTTCCTCATGTCTGGGGGTCGTGACCACCATCACCCATGAGCTTCAATCTTAAGATCTTTTTCCACTTTCCCCTGTCCACGGCGTCATGCAGCGCGATGTACACTGTACTGTCCAAAGCGGTGCGGATCTGATCGGACCAACGAGTCTGGCTGCGGCCTCTAAATCTGTTGCCTTCAACTTTCCCTGTGATCATAAGTTTTTCCAGGTTATCGCCGTCTTTCCTCGCAATGTGACCAAAATATTCGAGGATCCGCTTCAGACATACAGTAGACAGTCTGATTTTGATGCCCAGTTGCTTCAATATCGACACGTTAGTCCGGAAGGCTGTCCACGGAATTCTTAGCATGCGTCTCCAACACCANTACACGATTGTAACAAAATCGACCTTAAAAAGCCATTAAAGATATTACCAAAAAGTATACATTACCTCATCGTATCGTGTAATATTATAATCCGTAATTTAATGGCTGCGAGCACTTTATCTGTCCACTGGCATTAGTCATTTACTTGAAAATGCAAGAAAAATATCTGAACATCAATGAAAGATAAGGTTAGAATTAAAGATATAAAAATGTGGGATCTTAACGTACGTATTCAGGACTGATAGATAAAAATGATTGGCTTAGCTCCCATTGTTCTTATATAATATGTTACTTATAAGATATGTGGGTGGATTTACCAAACTTGATCCTTGATTAAAGACATGATAAATGATCCCTTGTTTATTTTAATGAAAGCTAGTAAAGCGGGTTACGTTTCGTTGTGACTATCGCAAAAAAAGATAATATTGTTTTTGGAAGGAAATATTACTAGTGGCCCGGTGGCCTTTCCAGATTCACTAGATCAGGTAGGCGAGTCAGAGGTCTGGGATTTGCTAACAACAGCCCGAGCGCCTACGAAGGAGACCTAACAGATCAAGGGCAGCTGCTTTGCGAATGCATCTACTACCGGCGATCCGCCAAGAAAATCAGTGGGCAGATGGGTTAAGTTGCACGTCGAACTCTCTGCCGATTTCAATAAGTACGGTTACCAGGGTCCCTAAGTCTATTCCTAGTGTTAGAGCTACTGGCGTGTAATTATAGTATTAGTGGATCAGATGGATCCGTAAGGACGTGTCTAGGGCGTCCACGGTGACTTAGTCGGGGAGTAGTCAGCGGTGGCAACGATTAGGCGATTATTACGACCTTATTGAAGTACTGTTCCGACGCTGACTTCAGGCGTTTTCTGTTCGATTCAAGGCCCAGATCCTCGTGTAGATCAACATTCCTTACAACCCACGGTGCTTCGACGGCTAAGCTATAGGAGGGGACCGTGTGAGGGAAACCACACTCGCGTATGTCATTTCGGGTCGTATGCCAGTTTTGTAAAGTGTCACTTTGTTCCCAAGGGATATTTTACTCCGCTTACAAATCATATGAAAAGTATGCGTAGGATAAGGTGGCACGGTCGCGGATGGACTTTATGTGTGGGCAGATTTTAAAGATGCATTCAGGATGACACCCAGGTACTTGATCGTCCTGGCCTAAGGTATCGATTGGCCGAAAAGGGTAATCGGGAGTGTCTGATTCTTACACCTAATGCGAGGGATTCGGGCCCACTTCCTCCTTTGAAAGAGCATTGCTGCGTTAACCAGCGATGCTCTTTCAAAGGTTCAGATATTAATATCGATGCCGGAACCACTGTCCGGAACCACTGTTCGACCGTTACTGTTACCGCTTTGGAGTTTACTAGCTTATTAGGTATTCGTTACTACTCGAATATTAAATAAGGCTAACGGTCACCAGGGAATGTTATTAAGGAATAAAGTAAAAAGGAGCGGAGAAAAAATGGAGCCTTGCGGGACTCGAGCGAACGAGACTGTCCTGCACGCCCATATTGAATAGTTTGAAGATCAAACCGTTTTGCCAAACTGTTATAACCTGCCTTTCTTTCCACACCGCGGGAAAGTTCGTCATAGACGTGCTGAGGCTTTGATATCAGGGCCGGGAAAGCGGAAGCGGTTTTGGCGATCGACGCTGCGGTTTGCTTTAGCCATCTGGGGTACCTTGCGTAAGGAGATAAGTACACTGGTGTAAAATCTTTAACGAAGTTTACAGATTTTATCCTAACACCTTGAGACATGAAGATAGCGAATGACGTCGAAGCGTCGAAGCGGTCGGGGAACCGGGGTAAATTACCCCAAATTGGATAAAATGAAATTTTGGGAGGTAAAAATGAACTTTTATGAGTAAAAGTATATATTGAAGTGAAACTTCTTTAGAATCGTTGTCATTTCAAACTCGATGAAACGAAATGAAAAGAAACGAAAAAATAATATATTTTTTCAAAATTATCACGGGGTCTATATCTAATATGAAAGATGCTAAAAAGAAGCGATATCGTTTTTTTTTTGTTCTTCGCCATGGGGTAATATCAACTTACACAAAAATATTTTGGGGTAATAATAAAAGTTCCCCGACCGCTGGTTTGGTGCAACTGTATTTACCTTTAAACTAGAACTTATGACTGTTTTGTATTTGGTTAGTAATAGGCTAGATGGTACTACTACTAGTATATGCGGAATGCGCTGTAGTACAATTAGCTGGAATAGTCCCTTAGGGTAGCAAAGAATTTTTGGGCAAAAGAAGCACACTCAGCACTCAGAGAACGCTCCCATCCATTATCTGGCGAATCTTTCAATCGCCTTTTTTGATATTAACCGAATGTGAATATCCTTAACAATAATTTTACAAAGTATAAACATAATAGTAAAAGCGACACGTGAACATTTAGCTCTCGAGAAAAAAACATACATGTGTAATATAATCACTAATATTATAAGTATATTTTATATGTAAGGCCAGTGACGCTCGCCGACGTTTCTCTGCGAGGATCGCTAAATGTATGAATAGTACCCATTGGTTAAATGTACTCACAGGGCCCCGATATATCTATCCTAATAGTACCAAATTTTTTTCACATATCCAGAAACAAACGGGAATACATAGATCTCGAAGAAATAAATTGATTGATACCGCAACTGGTTTTAATTGCTAAAATGCCTATCCCATTTTGATATTGTGGACATTAATGAACACGCTATGTCCTTAATTATAAAAGGTGCGTGTGCTGTTAAAACATTCGACGCCTAGCCTGCTACATTGTCGTGGCCCGTGCAATCGATGGTACAGACCATGAAACTATATAGTGTTTTTTAGCGTCGTGACCTAAATAAATAATAGTTTAAAAAAACTAACAAAATACGCTTTTATAGAAAATCCAACTAAGAAATAGGAAACTCCACGCTTTTTTTTTACAATAAAATCATTTTTTCATACACTATTTTTTATATAAATTTATTAAAAATATAATTTTTATTTTTTTGTTGGATTTTCTATAAAAGCGTATTTTGTTAGTTTTTTAAACTATTATTTATTTCTCATTTTTTTCAAGTTAATCCGAATCGAATTTCGAGTTAATCCGACGTTTTGAAGGGACTCAAAATCATGTTCAAAGATTCTGTTACATACTAACTAAGATACATGCGTCTGAAGCTAATAAAAGCGTATTAAAAATAAGAGGGCCGGTGTCCTCATTTCGAGCGATGTTACTTACAGATGTTAGAATTCCGCGGGCAGGTACCTATTAGTCTAATGATATAAGTACTAATTACTTATTCATGAATGATTTCGACGTTGAAGGAATAACATTGCGTAGATATTAAAAATTAAAAAAGCAAAAAAATATTGAGCAATTACTT